AGACCAAACAGAGAGAACGGTCAGAGAGATCAATCAGTGCTAAGCTAACCTAGCCTAAGCTAACCTAACCTAACGATTCACTGATCCACAGAATCACTGATTTACTGTCCCAGAAACATGTAGTGTTAAATTAGCTGGTACTGACTCTTTACCGTACCCATTATTTATCTATGAAATAAAAGCTTTATTGTGACTGAGTTTTTTTATGTGTCTTAAAGCGGATTTAAAGTTCCCGTATGATGCAAAATCCACATTATATAATTTCTTGTTACAGTCATATGTCTCCTGTGTATGAGATTCACCCATGATCCCCCCAACTGCCTTCCTCCACCTCTTAGCTGTTTGTTCAAAATGCTCTGCTTGAAAATCATTCCCCTGATGATGTCATCAGGGGCATGGAAAGCTCATCAGAGATTTTTGGTAAAGCCTTTGCGTAATCTGAGAGGAATTTTCCTGCACATACGGAAAAAAACGTGCTCTAATATTTTTATTTTTAAATGTAGCATAATGTGGGACCTTTTAACTGCGCCCTGATTAGAGGACCTTGATCTTCTAACAAAAGAGGAAAGCTGTAAGAATAGTCATCAAAGATGAGATTAAATGGTTTGATGACAGCTGAAAGAGAGCACCAATCATGAAAGCTTAACAAGTTCCAGGGGAGGGAACCAGTCTTAGAAGGGATGCAAAATGGACACATCAGAGAGAAGGAAATAATACATTGTTATGATGTGGCCCACTACAGGTGAGAGGGAATGACTTGTGGTTCCTACTTTGGTACCATCTGAGGTCAACATTAGACCTGTTTCTTTCATAGTGTTCCAGCTGGTAGAAACTTAATGGGAGTTTGTTTACTAGCTTAAACATTAAAGGAATAGTACACCCAAAACATGATTAGCCTTCATTTTCTACTCACCCCCATGCTGAACAACACTCTGGAGTACTTTTTTGATATCTCAAATGCATCTGGAGATCTGGGAGGCTTCTTGCTGTCTGCTGACATTCAAATAATGGAGGTCTATGGCGCCCGAGGCAGAAAGGTCCATAAAAGTCCACAAAAAACATGTCAATATTCCTCCATACTGCTCGTCCAATGTATTCCAAGTGTCCTGAGTGGGTAGCGTCCATAATTTACTCGAAACGAAGTCATTTAGAATGTTTTTAGAGCATAAACAGTAGTGTATAGGATTTCCTGAAAGCGCGCGCCTGTGAGTTCAGGACGCTACGGAAACCGCGGCAGACCAAACCAGATGAAAGTGCGCATTCAGCTCGGCAAAGAACTCATGCTCTTCCTCAACACTGAAGTCCTCAGACATTTTTCTTTCGTTGTTTCTTTCTTTGCACAGGTAAACAGCACATTTCTTCTTCTACGCTTGCATTATCGGCAGAGCAGACGCTGAATACGCACTTTCATCTGGTTTGGTCTGCCGCGGTTTCCGTAGACTCGTGAACGCGCTTTCAGGAAATCCTATACACTACTGTTTATGCTCTAAAAACATTCTAAATGACTTCGTTTCGAGTAAATTATGGACGCTACCCACTCAGGACACTTGGAATACATTGGACGAGTAGTATGGAGGAATATTGACACGTTTTTTGTGGACTTTTATGGACCTTTCTGCCTCGGGCGCCATAGACCTCCATTATTTGAATGTCAGCAGACAGCAAGAAGCCTCCCAGATCTCCAGATGCATTTGAGATATCAAAAAAGTACTCCAGAGTGTTGTTCAGCATGGGGGTGAGTAGAAAATGAAGGCTAATCATGTTTTGGGTGTACTATTCCTTTAATATTAGGAATGCACAGCGCTGAAGCTGGGAACATCTTCAGGACCAGGGTGCCTCCGTGGGACCTTGTGGTAGACAGAGGAAGACTAGCAGGTGAACCAGAGAAGCTGCTGTCCTGTAGGTCCAATATGCTGTTGGAAACTGTTATCCTCTTCAGGGAGTACCACCCAGACAGCAGAGGTAAAGTGAGAGAAGCTCAGGAGTAGCAGAGAGCTGTGCGGAGAGAGGAGAAAAGGTCTCTGATTGGTTGAACTAACCTAGATCGTCAGCAAACAGACATCCTCAGGCTACTGGCTTGTTTGACTTGTCTAATGAAAAAGGGTGTGGCCCCAGGTGGGGCCATTTAAGAGGCCTAGAGTAATTAATCAGTCCTATTTGACCAACCAATTCTTGGAGATCAACGCTTGTTAGCTTTAGCATTCTTAGACCTGGTTGATTTGAGCTGTAACCCTACATAAAGATGACATCACTCGATCCAGGTATGTCCTTTGCATGGCTTCGCTTCTGAATGCATCTCTGCATAGAGATGACCCTCTGGTTCCAGCCGTTTTGTTTGGTGTAAACACAGCATGGACATGCTGGTGACTGGGCAGGTCCAGGATGGGTGTTACCTGTGCTTCTCCATGGTCTCTGTGCCTCTCCAGTCCGGTAAGGTGCTGGCACACAGCATTCCAATGGAGACAACGACAAACAGGACGGAAACCGAGGCGAGCAGCCGAGCCAGCAGTGACGACGTGGGTTCCTCAAACGTCCTCCTCAGGGTCTCCATCCAGCAACTCTGAGCTACCTCCTCCAGGCCTCTCTGCTCCGTCTCGGGGAAGAAGTGGACGAAGCCGTCTGACAGGCGGTCATCCAGACGGCGCTGGCAGCAGGGCTGTAGGTCAGAGCTCTCCAGGCCCCAGTACAGCATCTCATTGTAGAAGGAGAGCTCGCACATTTGTGGCACGAAGCGCAGCCTCCCATGTTGGATGTAGAGCATGATGAAATTAAAAGCCTCAGAGTGGCGGTCAAAGAAGAACTCGTTCCTGTCTCGATCGTAGTCGTCACAGAGCTCCAGCAGTTCACGCTCTGACCCACAGCGTTGCAGCCGACTGAGTCTGCTGAGAGGAAGGCGCTTCATCAGCTCTGCTGGGACGGAGAACCTGCGGCCGCCAACGTTCAGGATGCACAGCTGGCTGCTGAACTTCATCTTCACCAAAAAAAATTCCTGCAGCAATGGTTTCAGGCAGACTTGGTTCCGCAGCAGACGGACTGCCTCCAGAATCCAGGGGTTCAACTCAGCCAGAGAGATCTTTGCTGAAGAATCCAGAAACTGCTCTGACCGTCACGTCTTATCATGGAAAACTTCCAGCAGAGCAGAGGCAACAGCAGCAGATCTGCGTCTGGGTGATTAGGAGCAGTGACCTGTTTCCACAGAAGCTATGCTGACAGGAAGTGGAGGCAAGGAGACGATGAATGGAGCAGATTTTCCCCAAATACTCTCAGACCTTTGCTCTGTTTCCTTGGTGGGTTGAATCTGAGAGTGGAGAGCAGCAGCAGACACTTCTGCTCCTCTTTGTCCTCCTTCTGAGGGAGAAGAGGAAGATCAGGAGAACCTGAGGGAGTAAAGCCAGCCTGGAGTCCATAAAAGTCCTTCTGTGATCCCCTCTTCATCTCTGCCGTTCCTCTTCCTCAGATCTGCTCCACTTATCAACCAATCATCTGCTTCATTTATTAACCAATCATCTGCTTAAGGGATCATCAAAGGCTCACATCAAAAGAGATTTCATAATGTCACTAATAAGAGCAGGACAGAGGAAACAGCGTCCTCTGCTGGCGACTCCTAAGAGCTGCTCCCAACATGATGAACTAATGAAGGCAGAGGGACACCCTGAAGGAGTCCATGAGGAGGACACTGAGGGACAGACTGAATGAGAAAGGAGTCCATGAGGAGAACCCTCGCCCATCCAGCGTAGGGAGAACCTTGACCAACATGACGATGACCCACTCTTTCTGTGAGCAGGCGAGCACAGCCTGTGTGTGTGAGGGAAATCTTATTAGTTTAAAAAATAACAATAATGACCATTATTTGCTCACATTGTCATTGATTCTTTGTAGGCTTTTTTGTTCCATTTAGATTTTTAATGTTAGTGTAATGTAAAAAATGTTATGGCTCAAAATGTTCATGTTTTACTATGAGTTTTAAGCACCTTAGTGGACCACAAGGGAAAAAAGAAAAAGTTGGAAAAAAATAAAATAAAAATTGTAACTCCGCCATAGTGTCTCTTTATGGTTAATTTTTCCAATCCCGGGTAAAGGAGGAGGGTAAGTATTATTATAAAATAAACATTAATAAAAAAATAGGTTAACAGGAGTCTTGGCCAGAAGATCAGAGATTCTGAGAAGTATCAAAAGAAAATCCAGGATGGTGTCAGGAAGCAGATCCAGGTTTGATCAACAGGCAGAAGTCAAGCAAACAGATCAGAACGGGAACCGGCAGGCTCAGAGGTCCAGAGGCAGGACGGGTCAGGAAAGGGTAATCAGAAACCCTAACATAATGCTGAAAAACTCTCCCCACATCCTTGAGAACAAGCTGGCACTGATAACTGGAAAGCAGGCAGGTTAAATAGAAGCAGGAGCAGGTGGATTAGATAAACGGTAATGAGATAACAGGCAGAGTTATATAGCTGAATGAAACAAATAATCCAGCCTGTCATCAGCACCGAATGCATGGCAGTTAAATAATTTGTATCATGTTGAAAAAAAGCTTATTTTAAATTATAACTTAACTTCCAATGTGCATCACATTATTTTTTTGCCAGATCTGTTTGCTACTTTTTTCTTATTTATTACTTTTGATCTATTTGTCTGCTTTAAATATGATTCTATTTAAGGTCTTACCCGCGACCTTTAAGAATGAATGCTTTATAATTACCTTTTAAACTAATTTTCTAAACACATTTCTATTAACTTTTCAGGGTAATTTCAATGCTGAGACTTCAGGATGACAGATGGAGACAGCAGATGAGCTCAAGACAGGAAGAAGGCCGGCTGGTTGATCCACTGTTGTCATGTGATCAAACCAGCAGTGAAATGATGATGAAGCATTCAGACATAAAGAAGCAAAACAAACAGAGAAGTTGCTGTTGCTGTTTTCCCACAGAATCTTGCTAACTGACCCTTTATTGGCCTCAGGTGTTGGGAGGGGGCGGAGCCTGAACACAGCCAGAAAACAAGCACCGTCTCACAGGAAGTGATGTCAGACCCGTCTGAGGCAGAGGCAGAGGGAGGAAGTAGCTGATCTGTTTTCACCGGAAACACTCAAATGGAGGTGAGAAAGATGCTGCCGCTGCTGCTCGCTGCTGCTGCTCTGGGTGAGTTCTGGTTCTGGTTCTAGTAAACTGACACAGTGCAAAGCTCAGGTAATGGTTCCTGCTTGGTTGGGGGGGTCCAATCTAAGTTGGTTTCTCTCATGGCAGCCAGAAGGGCTGAACTCTGACCTTTGAACCTCCAGAGAAATCCTCCCTCAGTTAATTTCTGTCCAGTTAATTCATGTCTTTCTCCAGAACTGGTTCTGATCCAGGTTCTGACCTTTCTTCCAGCTGATCCACTAAAACAAGAACTGGTTATGATCCAGGTTCTGACCTTTCATCCAACTGGTTCTGAACCAGAACTGGTTCTGATCCAGGTTCTGACCTTTCTTCCAGCTGATCCACTAAAACAAGAACTGGTTATGATCCAGGTTCTGACCTTTCATCCAACTGGTTCTGAACCAGAACTGGTTCTGATCCAGGTTCTGACCTTTCTTCCAGCTGATCCACTAAAACAAGAACTGGTTATGATCCAGGTTCTGACCTTTCTTCCAGCTGATCCACTAAAACAAGAACTGGTTATGATCCAGGTTCTGACCTTTCATCCAGCTGGTTCTGAACCAGAACTGTTTCTGATCCAGGTTCTGACCTTTCATCCAACTGGTTCTGACCCAGAACTGGTTCTGATCCAGGTTCTGACCTTTCATCCAGCTGGTTCTGAACCAGAACTGGTTCTGATCCAGGTTCTGACCTTTCTTCCAGCTGATCCACTAAAACAAGAACTGTTTCTGATCCAGGTTCTGACCTTTCATCCAACTGGTTCTGAGCCAGAACTGGTTCTAAACCAGAACTGTTTCTGATCCAGGTTCTGACCTTTCATCCAACTGGTTCTGACCCAGAACTGTTTCTGATCCAGGTTCTGACCTTTCATCCAGCTGGTTCTGACCCAGAACTGTTTCTGATCCAGGTTCTGACCTTTCATCCAACTGGTTCTGACCCAGAACTGGTTCTGATCCAGGTTCTGACCTTTCATCCAACTGGTTCTGAACCAGAACTGGTTCTGATCCAGGTTCTGACCTTTCATCCAGCTGGTTCTGACCCAGAACTGGTTCTGATCCAGGTTCTGACCTTTCATCCAGCTGGTTCTGAACCAGAACTGGTTCTGATCCAGGTTCTGACCTTTCATCCAGCTGGTTCTGACCCAGAACTGGTTCTGATCCAGGTTCTGACCTTTCATCCAGCTGGTTCTGAACCAGAACTGGTTCTGATCCAGGTTCTGACCTTTCATCCAACTGGTTCTGACCCAGAACTGGTTCTGATCCAGGTTCTGACCTTTCATCCAACTGGTTCTGACCCAGAACTGTTTCTGATCCAGGTTCTGACCTTTCATCCTCCAACTGGTTCTGACCCAGAACTGTTTCTGATCCAGGTTCTGACCTTTCATCCAACTGGTTCTGACCCAGAACTGTTTCTGATCCAGGTTCTGACCTTTCATCCAACTGGTTCTGACCCAGAACTGGTTCTGATCCAGGTTCTGACCTTTCATCCAACTGGTTCTGACCCAGAACTGGTTCTGATCCAGGTTCTGACCTTTCATCCTCCAACTGGTTCTGACCCAGAACTGTTTCTGATCCAGGTTCTGACCTTTCATCCAAATGGTTCTGACCCAGAACTGTTTCTGATCCAGGTTCTGACCTTTCATCCAACTGGTTCTGACCCAGAACTGTTTCTGATCCAGGTTCTGACCTTTCATCCAACTGGTTCTGACCCAGAACTGGTTCTGATCCAGGTTCTGACCTTTCATCCAACTGGTTCTGACCCAGAACTGTTTCTGATCCAGGTTCTGACCTTTCATCCAACTGGTTCTGACCCAGAACTGGTTCTGATCCAGGTTCTGACCTTTCATCCAACTGGTTCTGACCCAGAACTGTTTCTGATCCAGGTTCTGACCTTTCATCCAACTGGTTCTGACCCAGAACTGGTTCTGATCCAGGTTCTGACCTTTCATCCAACTGGTTCTGACCCAGAACTGGTTCTGATCCAGGTTCTGACCTTTCATCCTCCAACTGGTTCTTTACCAGAACTGATTCTGATCTGCTATGGAGAGCTGTTTCATTCAAAATAAATAAATGTTACTATTGATAAATTGTCAATGAGTAAAAATAAAATAAAACAACATAAATGTAAAAATGATTTTTAGCTTATTTTATTTTATCATATTTCAAGATTTTCTGTTTATTCAAAATGTATTAAATTTAAAAAATGCAAAATTTATTTCTTTATTATTTAACTAGTATTATATAAAACTTCCCTCCTCATATAGACATCCGTCCATCCATCATCCATCCATCCATCCATCCATCCATCCATCCATCCATCCATCCATCCATCCATCCATCCATCCATCCATCCATCCATCCATCCATCATCCGTCCATCCATCCATCCATCCATCCATCCATCCATCCATCCATCATCCATCCATCCATCCATCCATCCATCCATCGTCCATCCATCCATCCATCCATCGTCCGTCCATCCATCCATCCATCCATCCATCCATCATCCATCCATCCATCCATCCATCATCCATCCATCGTCCGTCCATCCATCCATTCTCCATCATGCTTACCCCAGCTTGGGTTGCGGGGGGTGCTGGTGTCTATCTCCAGCCGTCTACGGTCGAGAGGCGGGGTCCATCCTGGACAGGTCTCCAGTGCATCGCAGGGCAACACAGAGACAAACAACCACTCACACCTAAGGAGAATCTAGAGAAGCCAATTAACCTAACAGTCATGTTTTTGGACTGTGGGAGGAAGCTGGAGTACCTGGAGAGAACCCTTGCATGCTCCGGGAGAACATGCAGACATGCAGAAAGACCCATGGCTGGGAATCAAACCCAGAACAGTCCTGCTGCAAGCGAGAGTGGTACCCACTGCAGCCCCTAATTTAGAAATAAGAACATGAAATAAAAGGAGCTTACAAATAAAAAAAGTTAAAAAATAAAAATCAATAAATACGTAACATAGCTGTACAAAAAAGTGTCACAAAATAATCCATTATGACAGAAAGAAATAATAAAATAAATGAAATTATTTTTTAATCTACACTACATAAAAAAAATCCTTAAATGTAATTGAATAAAATAATTAGATTTTTTAGTTTTATTTCATCAGGATATTAATATATTTGATAGAATATTTATCTATACTGAATCCACCAGAAGCTCACTTGTTCAGGCTAGGACCAGTGAAACCAGTGAATGAACCAGCAGCTCGCTGGCTAAAAACGTAACTTTAAGGGCCCCTGTCTAGAACTTCATTTGGATGGGATTAAACTGATTTCAGATAATAAAGTAAAAAATCTTGGTGTTGTTTTTGATCAGGACCTGTCATTTAAATCCCAGATCAAAGAGGTTTCTAGAATGTCCTTCTTTCATCTGAGGAATATTGCAAAAATGAGCAATCTCCTGTCCAGGGGTGATGCTGAGAAACTAGTCCATGCATTTGTTACTCCAAGGCTGGACTATTGTAATTCTTTACTATCAGGAAGTCCACAAGCTGTAGTTAAAAGCCTTCAGCTGATCCAAAATGCTGCAGCCAGAGTTCTAATGAAAATGAAAAAGAGAGATCACATCTCTCCTATCCTGGCTTCTCTTCATTGGCTTCCTGTTAAATCCAGAATAGAATTTAAAATCCTCCTTCTCACATATAAAGCCTTAAATGGCCAAGCTCCATCTGATATCAGAGATCTGATTGTTCCTTATGTTCCTAACAGAGCACTTCGCTCTCAATCTGCAGGTTTACTAGTGGTTCCTAGAATTTCTAAAAGTAGAATGGGAGGCAGATCTTTTAGTTCTCAGGCTCCTCTCCTGTGGAACCAACTACCAGTTTTAGTCCGTGAGGCAGACACCCTGTCTACTTTTAAGGCTAGGCTTAAAACTTTCCTTTTTGATAAAGCTTCTAGTTAGAGTGGCTCAGGTTATCCTGAGCTATCTCTATAGTTCTGCTGCTATAGGCTTAGACTGCTGGAGGACATAGGGACCCCTTTTTCATCATTCTGCTTCATTCTATCTCTATTCTCCCACTCTGCAGAATCTGTTAGTTCAATCTCTAACGTTCTGCTCTCTCTGCTTTTTCTCACAGTAGCTTCATCTGGTCTGTTCCTGTTTGGCTGTGACTCCATCCTGGAGAGAAATATCAGCTGTGCTGCTGCCATCAACACCTTTGTTTCTAGATGTTGGAGCTTGGCCTGTTTTCCAGTGTAGTCCTGTTTCTCTGACTGTGACTGAGTGGATGTGCTCTCTTCATCCTCTGACATGGGAGCTGGCTCGGAGCTCGTCTGCCTGGCTGTGTGTTTCCTGGACGGGGCCGCCTGTGGAGCTGGTTGACAGTCGCCTTTTGTATCTATGCTTCTTTTTCTATGTCTGCTTCTGTCTTTTTGAACCCCAGTGGGCCTCAGCAGATGGCCGCTCACACTGAGCCTGGTTCTGCTGGAGGTTTCTTCCTGTTCAAAGGGAGTTTTTCCTCTCCACTGTCGCTACAAGCATGCTTAGTGTGAGGGATTGCTGAAGAGTCAATGAGTCGATGCAATCAGCTGGTTTTCCTTAGATAGAAAACTTTGAATGAATCTGACTGGATGATCTGGTTGAACTGTAAAGTTCCTTGACATGACTTGTGTTGTGAATCGGCGCTATATAAATAAACTGAATTGCATTGAAATGTAACTCAGGTGGTTCCTGTGGGTTCCTGTCTCCCTGCAGCTGGTGCGGCAGCAGGAAGCTATCATGGCGTCTCCATGCCAGGATCTCCATCCAACATCAGCAGGAATGACGCCGCTCTGCAGCAGGTGGTCCTCACCGCCGCTGCTGACTTCAACAAGCGGTCCAACGATGCCTTCCTGTTCAAACCTTCGGCCATAAGCACAGCGCAGCGACAGGTACCTCTCACCTCATTGGTCGCTATGGTGACGCACAGCACGACTCTTTCTTATTAAGTCAGTGATTACAATAAGAAGACGGTGTTTCTCTGATTCCATGTTATGAACTATGTTGATAAATCCGAGTGAGGATAAAAGACAACATGGTTTACATTTGAACGATGTTTGGTTGAAAAGGGAAACTAAAAGCCGCCATTTTTAGACAGTTGAACGTCTATTATTAGACTAAAGTTGGACAAAAAAATCAGACTGACCAAATAAAGGCCCATTTTGAACAACTAGGATGTCGCTAAAGGATATCGCTTTGGCACACTGGCAGGTGTGCATGGCTTTCATCAGGTAATCTGAGGGATTAAATCCCACCCAGGCCCTCTGTTGTCTACATTCCCACACGGAAAGTGTCTTTATTGGGAGGGGTGGTCTCATGGTTAGGACATAGAGCCTAGGATCCAGAGGTTATGAGTTCGAGCCCCACTCCCAAAACCCCACACTGCTCCCCGGACGCTGCAAAATGGCAGCCCACTGCACCCCAAGGAGATGGGTTAAATGCAGAGAGGGAATTTCTCTATTATGAGATGAATAAAGTTCAGTTATTATTTATTATTCTGGACTAAATCTAGACTGACAGAGGTTTAACAAAGCAGGTTTACTAAAAGCTCTGACTTTTCTGTTTCACAGAGTTTCCTCATCCTGTTTCTGTTGCCATAGTAACATCCTTCCAGAGCTAATCTGGTCAGCAGCAGGTTTCCTTCAGTAAACTGAGAGTTCTCTGTCTCTGCTCTCCTTATAGCCAATCACACTCTTTTTTTTTTTTTCCTGATTTAGTCAGATTTTTGTTGTAGTTTTATGCATTAAAAAAAATAAATAATTCACTAAGTCCGTTAGACAGATCAGGTTTTAAAAACAAACAGTTAATGTCCGTTTGACAAGGATCTTATTAAAGAATGATCGGCATTAATTCACGGAGAATTAAATATTTATAGGGAGAGGATTCTACAACTCAGTGACAGGATAGGAGATTACTGGATTTTGTTTTGTTTAATATGAGCGAGATTTTTGTATATTTATACAAAATGACATTTCGATAAATACAGGTTTAACATTCAGTGAGCAGCTTACAACAGTGAAATGAACATTTCCATTTATAAAGTGCAGCAGTGATCAGAAGAAAAAGGTGCAAATGCACCATATGAATTGATCAATTCATTTATTTATTTCGCTGGGACAAAAGGAATTACTCTAAGATTGAATTCACTGGATGATACCAACCTACTGAGCCTACTGGCCCAATCTGAAGCCGTTCTATGGGACTGATAGCCGCTAATAACGACCATTTATTGGGACGATAACATCGGAAACGCTGCAGCAAACAGCCACTGATTTACTGAGTAAAAGAGACTGAATCAACATGAGGAGGAACCCATGAGATGATGAACAGGTTCTATTTATTAGAATAACGTCTTTATTCTTCATCTTCACCTGCTGACAGATGATTTCACCTAAATAGATCCACTGATCTACGACCAAACTGTTTCAGGTGGTCAAAGGGATCCGGTACATTGTGGATTTCCAGATTTCCAGAACGGTCTGTCCTAAACGGGATCCCATCCAGGACCTGTCCAAGTGCGACTTGCAGCCTCAGGGCCTTCTGCACCAGGTGAGTTCTGACCAGCAAATTGAGCTGGAGGTCTCTGAGGTCCCGTAAGATGTTCTCTGCTTTGTCTTCCAGACGTTCCGCTGCCACCTGGACCTCTGGCTGATCCCTTGGAAGCATCGCCATGAAACTCTGGAGCTGCTCTGCAAACCCTGAACCATAGAAGCATCAGCAGCATCTGACCCAGAGCGCTTCTGTTGGACTACTGCTCTTCATTTGAATAAAAGTATTGGCTTTAAAACCTTCACCCCCTCAGTTCCTCTGATCTACTCAGAACCTTTGATGGTTCATCCTCGGCCCACTTAATAAATAAACCAGAACACAGCAGCTTTGTTTTCCTTATTATTTTGTTGATGCTCATGTTTTTCATGACAATAATGAAAACTGACGAGCTAAACGTGGATCTTTGATGATGAAAGCCTCTCTGCCTCACTTCCTCGCTGCCTCCTCACAGCCTCACTGCCTCCTCACTTCCTCGCTGCCTCCTCACTTCCTTGCTTCCTCCTTACTGCCTCGCTGCCTCCTCACAGCCTCGCTGCCTCCTCACAGCCTCGCTGCCTCCTCACAGCCTCGCTGCCTCCTCACAGCCTCGCTGCCTCACTTCCTCGCTGCCTCCTCACTTCCTTCTCATTTCCTAGCTGCCTCCTCACTTCCTCGCTGCCTCCTCACTTCCTTCTCATTTCCTAGCTTCCTCCTCACTTCCTCGCTGCCTCCTCACTTCCTCGCTGCCTCCTCACAGCCTCGCTGCCTCCTCACTTCCTCGCTGCCTCCTCACTTCCTTCTCATTTCCTAGCTTCCTCCTCACTTCCTCGCTGCCTCCTCACTTCCTCGCTGCCTCCTCACAGCCTCGCTGCCTCACTTCCTTGTTGCCTCCTCACAGCCTCGCTGCCTCACTTCCTTGTTGCCTCCTCACAGCCTCGCTGCCTCCTCACAACCTCGCTGCCTCCTCACAGCCTCGCTGCCTCCTCACAACCTCGCTGCCTCCTCACAGCCTCGCTGCCTTCTCACAGCCTTGCTGCCTCACTTCCTCGCTGCCTTCTCACAGCCTTGCTGCCTCACTTCCTCGCTGCCTTCTCACAGCCTTGCTGCCTCACTTCCTTGCTGGATCCTCACAGCCTTGCTGCATCCTCACAGCCTTGCTGCCTCCTCACAACCTGGCTGCCTCCTCACTTCCTCCTCACAGCCTCGCTGCGTCCTCACAACCTCGCTGCCTCCTCACAGCCTTGCTGCCTCACTTCCTCCTCACAGCCTCGCTGCGTCCTCACAACCTCGCTGCCTCCTCACTTCCTCGCTGCCTCCTCACAGCCTTGCTGCCTCACTTCCTCTCTGCCTCCTCACAGCCTCGCTGCCTCCTCACAGCCTCGCTGCCTCCTCACTTCCTCGCTGCCTCACTTCCTCGCTGCCTCCTCACTTCCTCGCTGCCTCACTTCCTCGCTGCCTCCTCACAGCCTCGCTGCCTCCACGCCGTTACTCCTCCTCTTACCATTTTTGATCAGCGTTTCTTTTGCGTTTTGCCTTTTCCTTTCTTTTTGAACGCATCATCTCTGATATCAAACTCTGTACCTACGCATTTCCTTGCTGCCTGACAGCTGTTTGATGCCTCTGCTGCACTAACCCTGAACTAAGCAATAAATCCATCTATAGCCGATGATCCTATAGTATAGTCTGTAGACTAACATTAGTCTCAGACTGACTGGAAGACATTGACCGAGTTAGCCACTGACATTGGCTCTAATGTTAGAAAGTAGAAAGGAGAGGAAATAGAAAGTCATTCACTGGGAAATGTTAATGTAGTAAATCTTTATTAGATTGATGATGCTGTGTTTGTCGTATTTCTCGTTTGAAAAAGTCATGAGCTGAAATATGTTGCATGTTATATTGAGGGGAAAAAAGCAACTAAAACATGATTAAAGGCTAATGAGCAGACACAGTATAAAGTATACGGCATCGTTCACAATCTGCAAACAGACAAATACTACAGCATTAACAGCCATATACTTGTAATTCAGTCCTGATGTGAAATCTTGAAATCATACGCTGATATGCTCAGCTCAAGAGCACGTTGGCACACTATGGCTGTTAGTCACAGCTGGTACAGGAAGCAGGGGCTGGGGTTCTTCTTCTTTCACCATTTCTTACTCATTCTACTTTCCTAATTCTCTGTCTTCCTTTATCTTATCGTCTGCTTCTTCCCTCTGGTTCACACAATCACACGGTTTGATGCTACCTGCGTCTAGGTATAACTATTTATTCAGAGTCATGTACTTTTCATCTTCCCACTCACACCTATGGTGAATGTAAGGTTTGTGACATGGAATGACCATGGAGCTGGCACCAGAGAGAAACAGCTGAAGATTTTTAACCGGCTTAAAAGATTAAATGCAGATGTTGTTTTATTGCAAGAAACTCATAAATCAGCGGCAACTATAAGTAATGAAAATAGAGCATAAAATTAGTCTTTACGCAGATGATGTATTACTTTATCTCCAGCACTCAAACACTTGCCTCCCTCAAGTGATTAGTTTACTAGAATCTTTCTCAAAAGTCTCAGAATCCTTCAGGTTTATAATTGCAATCAGGAAATATCAAATATTTGGGAATTACTCTGTCATCTAAACTAGCTGAGTTACCAAAACTCAACCACATCCCTCTTTTAAAAAAAATAGAAGAGGACCTAGAAAGATGGAAATGGCTTCCGATCTCCCTTATGGGTCGGGTAGCATCAATTAAAATGATGGTCCTACCCAGAATTAACTACCTATTTTCAATTATCCCAAATAAACCATAAACCGAATGGTTTAAATCTCTAGATTCTTCCATCTCTGAATTTCTTTGGAAGGACTTAAAGACACTACAGAAAACTAAAGACAGAGGGGGACTAGATTGACCTAACTTCCAACACTACTTAGCAAATATATTACAAAACATCTCTAAATGGATAAAACATAATCCCTTAGATGAGCCCTGGATAGACACAGAACAGGAAATATGCAGTAATATAATAATCTCAGATTTGCCGTTTATTAGCTCTAAGATCAAACGGCAGCCTGTTTTAAAAATATTAACATCAGATCTTCCCTGACAGCATGGTGGGAATTTCCTAAAATAACGAACTCATCACTTATCCCGTGCAGTCGTACACCCATCTGGAATAACCCGGACATTCTACAAAACAATAATGAGATAAACTTTCCGTACTGGAAGAATAAGAACTGGACTTTTCTTACATTTGCTAGATTAAATTTGCAGTATGGCATTAACAAAAATAAATTCTTAGAATATGAGCAAATCAAAGCTATAATTAGAAATTAATTTAAGCATATTGATGGAGGTTTAATAATTCCAGCTAATATATCAGAGTTTCTAGAGTTAACCCCCCCCAAACTACTGTCTAAACTATACAGGACGCTGTCTAAACTGGATGATACAATATCTCTTCCTATGACTAAATGGGAGGAGGATTTATCAGTCAGCTTTGAACAAAACATTTGGACTCAGATATGTCTAAGAACTTTTAACATGACTAGAATCCCCAATTTACAATTAATACAATACAAAATCCTCCACAGAGTGCACTATACAGGTCAAAGATTATTCAAGATGAATATCTGTCCACGGGCAATCATCTTGATAATTATTTTCATGCGTTATGGTTATGCACGCCGGTTCAGACGTTCTGGGTACAGCTATGTAAGGATCTATCAATGTGCCTGGGTTGTAAAAACACACTTTGAGGGAAGCTCTATGGAAAAAAAAATCAGTTTGCATGGTTTTTACTGCGTTATGTATCGCAAAGAAAACTATCGTCATTAATTGGAAAAGTCAGGATAAACTCAGCATCAATCAGTACAAAGATCATATTAATGTTGAGACAGAATCTGCATCCCCATCAGACCGATCTCTCAGTTATCAGTTAATGTATTAATTTAGCATTGATTGATCTTATGTTCAGCTAACTGTTAATTGATAAGCAGCCATTTTCCTAATAAGGAAATATATTTGTTTCGTCTCTTGCTGACTCTTAAAGGAATAGTACACCCAAAACATGATTAGCCTTCATTTTCTACTCACCCCCATGCTGAACAACACTCTGGAGTACTTTTTTGATATCTCAAATGCATCTGGAGATCTCGGAGGCTTCTTGCTGTCTGCTGACATTCAAATAATGGAGGTCTATGGCGCCCGAGGCAGAAAGGTCCATAAAAGTCCACAAAAAACGTGTCAATATTCCTCCATACTGCTCGTCCAATGTATTCCAAGTGTCCTGAGTGGGTAGCGTCCATAATTTACTCGAAACAAAGTCATTTAGAATGTTTTTAGAGCATAAACAGTAGTGTATAGGATTTCCTGAAAGCGCGTTCACGAGTCTACGGAAACCGCGGCAGACCAAACCAGCGCATTCAGCTCGGCAAAGAACTCATGCTCTTCCTCAACACTGAAGTCCTCAGACATTTTTCTTTTGTTGTTTCTTTCTTTGCACAGCTAAACAGCACATTTCTTTTTCTACGCTTGCATTATCGGCAGAGCAGACGCTGAATGCGCACTTTCATCTGGGTTGGTCTGCCGCGGTTTCCGTAGACTCGTGAACGCGCTTTCAGGAAATCCTATACACTACTGTTTATGCTCTAAAAACATTCTAAATGACTTTGTTTCGAGTAAATTATGGACGCTACCCACTCAGGACACTTGGAATACATTGGACGAGCAGTATGGAGGAATATTGACACGTTTTTTGTGGACTTTTATGGACCTTTCTGCCTCGGGCGCCATAGACCTCCATTATTTGAATGTCAGCAGACAGCAAGAAGCCTCCCAGATCTCCAGATGCATTTGAGATATCAAAAAAGTACTCCAGAGTGTTGTTCAGCATGGGGGTGAGTAGAAAATGAAGGCTAATCATGTTTTGGGCGCTCGGAGTGGGGTGCCTGGTGGGTCTGACCCCGGGGTCTGTAAACCCCATCAGGGCAGGGCTTGAGACGCCTCGGGGGGTCCTACGTCGGCCCCTCGGATGGGGGCCCCGGTAGGGCATCAGGGCTTGGGGTTCTTTCGGTAGGGCTGCTTGGGGTCTGGGCCGGTGTACAGCCGGATGTCCGGCCCTGCCGGTGCCTCTGGTGTGCTGGGGGGCCTCGGGTCCTGTTGGGCTTGGGGGGAGGGACATTAACACCTTATGGCAGATGCTTACCCCTTCAGGGGTTTGCACTCTGCTAGTGGGGGAAGGGGAGGGAGGGGGAATGATCTCGGCCTGGATGTCTTGTGTGGCGAGTGGTTTGAATGTTATGTGGGGGGGGTCAGGTCTGGCTCCCCATCTAATGTCTGCAGACCTGTATTACAGGCATAGCCTAACAAAAACCTCAACGACCCCCCATTCCAAGGGGGGGGACCCGTTCATCCGTTTCTATTTGCATGTTTTCTAAACTAAAACCAGGCTTTGTTGGGCTGCTGGATTAAAACCTGGAACTAAACGCTATTCCTGACATTTTGGATTGAAAAATCTTCCTGGATGGAAGAGAAACGTCTTCAAACTTGGAAACAAAGTCCAGAGGATTGTTTATTAATGAAACTATTTTTCCAGACTAGCTAGGACTCTGTCCCAGTAACCATGGCAACGCTGAGACTCATTAAAGGAACCCACTGGTAATGAAAAGTCTGTCAGTTCTGTTTGCAGACAGAAGCTGCAGCCTTCTAGGTGATACGGTTCTGGACGGGGGCCGCCGGGACCCGGGTTCAGGTAGGAACCAGCATGTGTTGTTCACCATGGAGGAGCGGGCGACGCTCCGGTTCAGCAGCGCCTCCATCAGGCTGGCCGTTTACATCCGTTTCTGGTCAGAACCCCCCACCCCACCCTCCCCCCCAAACATCAGACCCTGAAGCTGCTTTCTTTGCTTTTATTGGACTGTTAACAACAGAGGCCCCACCCCCTGCTCTGATTGGTCCGTATGATCGGGACCAGCTGGTGCAGCCTGGCCTCAGGCTACTGGGAACCAGTCCAAAGGCTTCAACAGAACCTCAGAGTCTGTGTCTCTTCTAGTCGTCCCTGTTGGTGTCGGTTCTGGTCCGGATCCCAGCCTAAGCTTTCTGCAGGTCCAACACGGCGATGTAGGGAGAGCGGAAGGAGCCCACGTACAGCTTCCCATCATGCTCGTGGGCCTCGCTGGCGTAGGCCGCCACCAGGCCGCCGGCATCATGGAAGCTGCGGCTGCAGACGCCGCCATCATGGAGCTCCGCCACCAGGCTGTACCGAGGAACGAACTTCATCAGAACATCCTGACTGAAGAGCTGCGGGGGGGCAGAGGTCAGAGGTCAGCAGCTTGTAGCTTCTGTCAAACAGGCTGTTCCTCAGTCTTTCGCAGTTCACAAGATGAGAACAGACCAAACCCGCTGGTGTTGTTCCCTCCCTCTTTACCCAGCATGCACCATGTCTGCAGCCAGGGCTAACGTTAGCCTGTCCGCGGCACACAGGGCTAAAGTTAGCCTGTCTGCGGCACACAGGGCTAACGTTAGCCTGTCCGCGGCACACAGGGCTAACGTTAGCCTGTCCGCGGCACACAGGGCTAACGTTAGCCTGTCCGCGGCACACAGGGCTAACGTTAGCCTGTCCGCGGCACACAGGGCTAACGTTAGCCCGTCCGCAGCACACATGGCTAACGTTGGCCCGTCGCGGCACACATGTCTAACGTTGGCCCGTCCGCGGCACACATGGCTAACGTTGGCCCGTCCGCAGCACACATGGCTAACGTTGGCCCGTCCGCGGTACCCAGGGCTAATGTTGGCCCGTCCGTGGCACACATGGCTAACGTTGGCCCGTCCGCGGCACCCAGTGACAACGTTAGCCTGTCTGCGGCACCCAGGGCAGACGTTGGCCCAACCGTGGCACCCAGGGCTAACGTTGGCCCGTCCGCAGCACACATGGCTAACGTTGGCCCATCCGCGGTACCCAGGGCTAACGTTAGCCCGTCCGCAGCACACATGACTAACGTTGGCCCGTCCTTGGCACACATGGCTAACGTTGGCCCGTCCGCGGCACCCAGGGCTAACGTTAGCCCGTCCGCGGCACCCAGGGCTAACTTTAGCCCGTCCACGGCACACAGGGCTAACGTTATCCGCGGCACCCTGGGCACGTTAGCCTATTCGCAGCAACCACATTTGCTCTCTGTTCTCACAGAGGCAACTCTGCTGTGTTCAGGTCAAAGGTCACACTAAACACCTCACCTTGAAAATAAACTTCTTGATCCAGGGTCTCTGGGACAGGAAGTCCAGCATGGAGAAGCCGGGGTTGGGTCTGACGGCAGCCATGGTCACCCAGTAGCCTCCGGTGGAGCTCGGACGGACGTTGTCTGGGAAGCCTGGCAGGTTGTCCACAAACGTGTCCATTCCCCCTTTGTTGAGTCCAGCAACATGGACCCTGGAGAGAGGACAGAGTCAGACCTGTCTGACCTGCAGACAGACCGGGTGCTGGGGCAGGGTACCTGCGGATCCGGGCCATGGTGGTCTCTGCAACCAGAACCGACTCTTCATTGGGCAGAAGCTGGATGCCGTTTGGAAATCGGAGGTTCTCCATGACGACTGACAGCTCTTTGGTCTCTGCGTCGTACTCCAACACCCTGAAGGAGACAAAAACAGGCTTTTATTTTCCCTGGTTTGCAGTTCCAGTCCAGGAGTGGCCAGACGGGTCCTACCGGCCATCAGCCGTGGCCTCCATGATGAGTTGCAGGTAGTCTCTACGCTGCCACCTGCTGCTGGAGTCGGTGAAGTACACCTTCTTCCCGTCCTGGGTCACTGTCAGGTCGTTGATGAAGGACAGCTTCCTGCCAGCGACCACCTGACCCCCCGACACCAACCGGGTGGCAGCTCCTGCAGAGAAAACTGCTGAGCTCCAACAGGAAGGCAGCAGGTGGAAGGAGGCGTGGCCAGAGGGAGCTCACCTGTGGTGGGGTTGACCTCGAACAGCCCCAGGTAGGCGTCGGCTACAAAGAGAGTCCCGTTGGGTCCGACTCGGATCCCCAGAGGCCTCCCACAGGTGGGCTCGTCTTCTCTGGAGCCTGCAGAAGGTCAGACAGCCACAAAAAGGCTTTAGCCAATCAGAGCCCTGCTCAGAGCCGATGGCATCAGCCACAGTTTGAGGCGAAAAATTGAAAACATCTTAAAAGGACCTCGGACCTCCATCTGCCACGTCTGACTGGGTGTGACCCGACTGAATGCCCATCAGAACCCTCAGTGCGTCAAGTAGCGCGTCTAAAGGTTAGCATGCTATCAGAACCCGCCGTGGGAGGAGCTATGGGCTGCAACCGTCAGAGCTAATCAGTTCATGATCGGAGAGGAAAAGGTTGGCGACAGAAGATTGACACGGAAACAGATCCGAGTCGATCTGATCGGCTCCGAGTCTCTGGCAGCTTCCTGTTCCCCAGCTAACGAGTTGATCGCTAAATTAGTTCAGGATTATTTGGATAATCAAAGAATTTCTCCCAGCGGCTGCTGCTCCTTTATTTTGACCAGCGATGAAAACTTAACGTCATCATCATCATCATCATCATCATCATCAGCTGAGCTTTGGCCTTCTGGATGAACCCTGATGCACTTTGCTCCCAACTCATCATGGAAAACTAAAGGTCAGGATTCCCTTATGGCTCCTAAATGGCCCCATGTCAACAGGAGGAGCAGCAGGAGGAGCAGCAGCAGGAGGAGCAGCAGCAGGAGGAGCAGCAGCAGGAGGAGCAGCAGGAGGAGCAGCAGCAGGAGGAGGAGCAGCAGGACGATGCATCTCACCATCACGCATGTGCATTCAGACACGGGAAGCTTCAGCGTGAAGGAACATTTCAGAGCAATGCACGTAAAAACGCACGCTGCAGAGGAACGCTGCTGAACCAACGAATAATGCTGAACGTACGCTGCTGAACGAATGTACCCTGCTGAACGAATGTACGCTGCTGAACGAACGTACGCTGCTGAACGAATGTACGCTGCTGAACGGACGCTGCTGAACGTACGAACCCTGCAGAACCCACACTGCTGAACGAAACCAAACTGATCCTACCGCATGGCAGCCTGCCGAGCCTAGTCACCGTGACGACTCTCCGTCCGATCAGCTTCAGGATTTTCCCGTCCGCCGTTCCAGTGAAGAGGACGTCTGCAGAAAGACAAACAGACTCAGTTCTGGTTCCTCTGGAATCCACTGGTGAGGATGAGGATGATGATGAAGGCAGAGCTGACCCCCGATGTTGGCGATGGATTCTGGTCCAAGGATCTGGTCTTCATAGAGTCTCTGGGCCTCTCGCAGCTTCTGGTTGGGCTCCCAGCAGCCCTTCATCAGAGGCGGATCCTTCAGACTTCAGCGGCAGGAATGGCCAGGAGGGGGCGGCAGCACGCCGGGTCATGGAAGGAAAGAGATGAGGGTCAATCTGCAGGGCTGATAGTCCAGGAAATAAAAACCACAGGTCAGCGATTACCCAGCAGACCATCCAGGCTGTCCTGCCGCCGCCACTGGGCGTCGCTGCAGGACGAAGCTGCCCAGTAGGCGCATGGTTCAGGTTCTGGTTGGATCCAACTCATTTTTTTAGGAGTTTAACTCCGGTGCAAATGTTTAAAATGGAGCTTTAACAAGCCTAGCAGATGGTTCTGGTTCTGGTTGTCTGCAGCCTGTAGGTCCAACAACTGGACCTCTGAGGTCCATGGAGAAACTCCAGGACTGTTCTGATGACACATGACTGCGTCCCCAGGTTCACCACCAATCACATCGCTTGCTCACCTTTTACATCATGTCTCTCCTACACTTTTAACATTTTGATCAATAGAACTGTTCATTTCACTGATGGAAACTTATTTATATTGAAGTTCAACAGTAAAGATTATTTAAGTCAAACTGATGGAACAGCTGGACCTCTGAGGTCCATCCTGACGGAGGGTTAGAGTCCCAGCAGGATTTGGTTCTTTAAGGCAGGAACAAAACCTTCGGGCTGTTAAAGGAATAGTACACCCAAAACATGATTAGCCTTCATTTTCTACTCACCCCCATGCTGAACAACACTCTGGAGTACTTTTTTGATATCTCAAATGCATCTGGAGATCTGGGAGGCTTCTTGCTGTCTGCTGACATTCAAATAATGGAGGTCTATGGCGCCCGAGGCAGAAAGGTCCATAAAAGTCCACAAAAAACGTGTCAATATTCCTCCATACTGCTCGTCCAATGTATTCCAAGTGTCCTGAGTGGGTAGCGTCCAGAATTTACTCGAAACGAAGTCATTTAGAATGTTTTTAGAGCATAAACAGTAGTGTATAGGATTTCCTGAAAGCGCGTTCATGACGCTACGGAAACCGCGGCAGACCAAACCAGATGAAAGTGCGCATTCAGCGTCTGCTCTGCCGATAATGCAAGCGTAGAAGAAGAAATGTGCTGTTTACCTGTGCAAAGAAAGAAACAACGAAAGAAAAATGTCTGAGGACTTCAGTGTTGAGGAAGAGCATGAGTTCTTTGCCGAGCTGAATGCGCACTTTCATCTGGGTTGGTCTGCCGCGGTTTCCGTAGACTCGTGAACGCGCTTTGAGGAAATCCTATACACTACTGTTTATGCTCTAAAAGCATTCTAAATGACTTCATTTCGAGTAAATTCTGGATGCTACCCACTCAGGACACTTGGATTACATTGGACGAGCAGTATGGAGGAATATTGACACGTTTTTTGTGGACTTTTATGGACCTTTCTGCCTCGGGCGCCATAGACCTCCATTATTTGAATGTCAGCAGACAGCAAGAAGCCTCCCAGATCTCCAGATGCATTTGAGATATCAAAAAAGTACTCCAGAGTGTTGTTCAGCATGGGGGTGAGTAGAAAATGAAGGCTAATCATGTTTTGGGTGTACTATTCCTTTAAGAACATCAAGGTAGATCAATGTTTGGTTGCCCCACTCTGAGGTGGACCTACCTGAAGACCTCAGGGTGGATGGGAGACTCCAGGATGAGGATGATGACGAGCAGAGGAAGGAGCAGGAAGCCCCCCAGGGACAGCAGGGTCACCTTGAACACCTTCCCACTGTAGGAGCTGCCAGGGGAGACAGAGCTGCGTTAGATGGTGAACTGGTTCTGCCTGAGGTTCCTCAGGGTGAACAGGTTCTGCCTGAGGTTAACCCAGAAACCTGTGGTCTAATAAGAAGGTCAAAGGTCACCACAGAGGCGGTCGGATTTCTGCCTCTGATGGATCTGTTTTTATTTGGGATTAAATAATCCAATAATCTGTGATGTCATCGGATTATAGGCCCACCTGCCTGGTCAGGACCTTCAAGGTTCTGGAGGTTCAGAATCTGGTTTCTGGTTCGGCTCCTGTCTGTTTTTACTGTTTTCATTTCAGAACCAGTTAGTTCTGGTTCCCAGGTCGGATCCGTTCTTTCCTGAACCGGATCTTCTCCGGGAATCAGAACCTGCAGGCAGGAGAACGTTCTCCAGAACTGTTGCCTGTTCTAGCAGCAGAACCAGGACCAGCGGCCCCGGTCTGGTCCGGTCCGGTTCTCACCTGGACCCTTTGAGTCTCCGCTCCGGAAGTTCCTCTGTGATCACGTGAGCTCGGTGCAGCCGCCGGAAGCGGACTCCTGCGGTCTCGTTCATGTTGGGCTGGACTCGGTTCGGCTTCAGTCAGTGGTCTGGACCAGCGGCTGTTGACACCTAGAAGAAGAAGAAGAAGAACCTCTTCTTCTTCTGTGGTTTATAGCTGCGCTCATTTCCGCCTCCTGCTGGAGCAGCGGAGTACTGCAGTACTACCAGTAATCATCTACTAAAGTAAAAGTAAAGTATTCAAGAACATTTTGTTATATCAGAACATTTCAGTCTAATTTTCATTTTAAAGAATCTTTAGAAATCTCTTGATTGCTGCATAGAACCACATACTCTAGATTCTACACCACCTGGAAAGAAGTTCAGCGTTAAAATGACACAAAAACATAAGGACAGAAATGTTATTATTTCTTATTAAAAATCAAACCAATGAGAAAAGAGTCCAGATTCTCCTCATTCTTTCTCTATAGAATAGAGGATTAAGGTTGAATTAATAAATGATAAACTAATAATAATATCTGCTCTGACTTTCTCTCATTAGTGGAACGGCATTAAATCTGTGGCGTCTCGATTCAGCCCATAGCGCCGCTATCCGCCATGATGGATGAAAAACAGAAACATTGGATTAAAAAGCTGAGCTGAACCAAAAGGAAGAAGAAACTAACAGCTTCCTGGGAATGGAGGGAAAGTTAGATACTATTCAGATCAGATTGTTAGCTCAGATTATTAGTAAAAGGGTTAAAGAATCAATTATTTATAAACAGATCAATTATTTTATAAATGGATCAATGAATACGTTTATTATTAAAACTGATCAATTAATCATTTCATTTGTAAATGGATCAATGAATCAGTTCAATAATGAACAGATCAATGAATCGATTCAGGATCAGGATGATTAGCCCCGCCCCCTGCCCTGATCAGGATGATTAGCCCCGCCCCCTGCTGTGATCAGGATGATTAGCTCCGCCTCCTGCTCTGTAGAGTCATGCACCAAAGATAAATTCACACCAGCAATGAAATTCAAGATTTTATTTGAAACATTCAGCACATTTTTCAAACAGGCCTTCACAATAAAAGCCTGTCCAGGCGGCAGTGGCTCTTTCTCAAGGTAACGGTGAGTCTGCGCTGTTCTCTGATTGGTTGTTGCTTAGACTGCCTCCAAGCTGCTGAAGAACTCTCTCAGTATGGTTTCCAGTTCCTCCTCGCTGTAATCCCGGACCAGGAACCGCTTCCCATCCGCCGCTCCTCGGATCATGGCCGACAGAGCTGCGGGCGGACGCAAGTAAGCAACCAAACTACAGCCAATCAGATCAACCCGTACAGGAAGTGAGCTCACTGCGTCCTGATGACGGCCGGAACAGACACAGCATCTTCTTCTTCTTCATGTCCACAGCTCGGCCCAGCTCATAACCAACACCCAAAGATGGCTGCGTCACCTCGGCAACCACCACTGAGACACAAACACAGGTAAGAGGTCAGCATTCAGCTGTCCACCAATCAGGGCCCAGCTCAGTGACCAGCTCTAACCATCAGACTGCTTCAGCCAGTCCACGTCTCGGTCATGGATGTCTCTGTCGTCCCCTGTGGTCGCCAACTCTCCTGTCCAACCAGAGAAAAGACAGATTCACGCCGGTCCTGTCAGTTAATTAGTAAACGGATCAGTGAATCAGTTCGTTAACAAACAGAGCAATAAATCTGTTCATTAGTAAACAGATGATTCAGTTCATTTATAAACTCATCAATGAGTCAAATCATTAGTAAACAGATTAAAGAATCAGTTCATTAATAAACGGATCACTGACTTATTTAATTTTAAATGGATAAATTAATCGGCTGATTTATAAAGGATCAATAAATCAGTTCATTAATAAACGGATCAGTGCTGAATTAGTTCATTAATAAACAGATCAAAGAATCAGTTCATTAATAAACAGATCCATGAATCAGTCCATTAATAAACAGATCAATTGATTGGTTAATTTAGTAATGGATCGATGAATCGGTTCATTTATAAAGGATCAGTGAATCAGTTATTTATTAAACGGATCAATGCTGAATTAGTTCATTAACAGATAAATGAATCAGTTCATCAATAAATGGATCAATTCATCTGTTTTAATAAACAGATAAATGAATCGGTTTTTAATAAACAGATCAATGAATCGCTTCATTTATTAACGGATCAACAAATCGGTTAATTAATTAACATATCAATGAATCGGTTAATGGATCAATTAATCTGTTAATTAATAAACGGATCAATGAGTAAGTTCATTAATAAACGGATCAATGAATCGGTTCATTAATAAACGGATCAATGAATCAGTTCATTAATAAACAGATCTGTGCTGAATGGGTTCATTATTAAACGGATCAATGAATCAGTTCATTTATAAACGGATCAATGAATCGGTTCATTAATAAACAGATCAATGAATCAGTTCATTAATAACGGATCTATGCTGAATGGGTTCATTAACAAACGGATCAATGAATCAGTTCATTAATAAATGGATCAATGAATCAGTTCATTAATAAACAGATCAATGAATCAGTTCATTAATAACGGATCTATGCTGAATGGGTTCATTAACAAACGGATCAATGAATCAGTTCATTAATAAATGGATCAATGAATCAGTTCATTAATAAATGGATCAATGAATCAGTTCATTAATAACGGATCTATGCTGAATGGGTTCATTATTAAACGGATCAATGAATCAGTTCATTAATAAATGGTTCAATGAATCAGTTCATTAATAACGGATCTATGCTGAATGGGTTCATTATTAAACGGATAAATGAATCAGTTCATTAATAAACAGATCAATGAATCAGTTCATTAATAACGGATCTATGCTGAATGGGTTCCTTATTAAACGGATAAATGAATCAGTTAATTCATAAACGGATCAATGAATCAGTTCATTAATAAATGGTTCAATGAATCAGTTCATTAATAACGGATCTATGCTGAATGGGTTCATTATTAAACGGATCAATGAATCAGTTCATTAATAAACAGATCAATGAATCAGTTCATTAATAACGGATCTATGCTGAATGTGTTCATTATTAAACGGATCAATGAATCAGTTAATTCATAAACGGATCAATGAACCAGTTCATTAATAAATGGTTCAATGAATCAGTTCATTAATAACGGATCTATGCTGAATGGGTTCATTAACAAACGGATCAATGAATCAGTTCATTAATAAATGGATCAATGAATCAGTTCATTAATAAACAGATCAATGAATCAGTTCATTAATAACGGATCTATGCTGAATGGGTTCATTAACAAACGGATCAATGAATCAGTTCATTAATAAATGGATCAATGAATCAGTTCATTAATAAACGGATCTATGCTGAATGGGTTCATTAATAAACGGGTCAATGAATCAGTTAATTAACGGATCAATGGATCATTTCATCAAAGCACCGCAGGGATCCGTTCTTGGCTGCTTAGGGTTAATCTGAACCTGGCTTTTAACTCTTCCCTCTGACTGTTAAACTGTTCATCACTCAGTTCATTAATAAACCATTTAGTGCGTGTGCGCGTGCCACCTTCGTCGCTGAGCTCGGGGCTCGACACGTGCTCGGTAAGCACGCTCCCGTATTTCTGCAGCTCCTGCACGATTCTTTGGTAGAGCTGCTGGTCCGACCTGCCGCCGCGGATGCTGCCGCAGAAATAGATCTTCATCCTGGACCTGCTGCTGCTGCTGTCTGAGGCTCAGATCCAGCCGAGGAATCCGCTACTTCCGGAAGCTTCCCGCGCACAGCTCTTCTTCTTCTTCTTGTAGATCTTGTAGATAGCAGGGGGCAGACTGAGAAAAAATTAAATCCATAAACTTCCGATAATATGAAGTAAAGCAGTTAAAAAATGAAAACTGTAAAATTAATCAAAGTGTTTCTAAATTATTATACTCTGTTTCCTTTTGTAGAATTCTTATTATCTTTCTTTCTGACATTTCCTACAAACAGAATTTATTCTCTATTTTCTTTCCCCACCAAACTCTTTTCTTATGCTTTATTGGCAATTCCGTGTAACATTACAGAATAAATCAAACATCAAGCACAGATATACAACAGTTGGTGACATTAAAACTTTAAGAAAAACGAGACATAGAAGGTAATAAATAAAAAAATAAAAATAAAAAAGGGAAATAAATAAATAAAATAAAATAAACAAAATAATAATAGCTAGGGGTTTACATTAAGTTTACGGTCATTTACAAAAGCGTAGAATTTTATACTATTTTTCTTCTTCATAAATTTAAGTGATTGAAAATACAAAGTTCTTTAAGGATCAAAATCACATTTAAGGAGGTAGTTAATTCCTCCTAATTCTATAAATATTTTGGAGGGGATATGAAACCAAAAACTATTTTCATTTTTCAGAAGCCTTGGAGGAAAAATCTATTGATTGCAGGATTTTTGGTATTTGATTGCTGTTTTTCATGAATACGGCCGTATCATCGGCTAGTTGGGTTATGGCGATTTTGTTGCCTGAAACACTGAGTTTCTGAAAATCTGCATTTTTAATAAAGGATAACATCCCTGCTGCAGGGATGAAGAGTAAAGGAGAAACAGGACATCCCTGATTAATGCCTTTATTAATAGAGATTCTAGAAGAGATGCCATGTGGCAGTGAGATCACACTGTTTGTGTCGTTGCATGATGTTTTTATTAAATTTAAAAATTTTGGTCCAAAGCCAAATAATTCTAAGGTGGGGAACATTAATTTGTGTTCAATGGTATCAAAGGCTTTAAAGAAATCTAAAAATAAAATAAAACTTTCATCTTCAATTAGATGATTATAGTCTAGTAGATCGAATATAAGACGGATATTGTTATTATCTGTAATAATCTGTAATAAGTCCTGGAGGTGGTCAGAGGACCTGATGGGGGTCAGAGGACCTGATGGGGGTCAGAGGACCTGATGGGGGTCAGAAGACCTGATGGGGGTCAGAGGACCTGATGGGGGTCAGAGGACCTGATGGGGGTCAGAAGACCTGGAGGTGGTCAGAGGACCTGGAGGTGGTCAGAGGACCTGATGGGGGTCAGAAGACCTGGAGGTGGTCAGAGGACCTGGAGGTGGCCAGAGGACCTGATGGGGGTCAGAA